AGGGCAGTAACATCATGAGCACTACAAGCAGAGGAACAGATAATGAGTCACCCCACACAGTCTTCGTTTTATTTTGCCAGTGCCAACATGAAGAAAAGTGGGTCCTTGTAAGTCTTCAAGACTGAGAGCTGTACAGCGCCTGTTCCTAAGGGCTTAAGATTCAATAACTCTTATTCCATGTGCCTCCAAAGTCCAACACTACAGTTCAGAAAGGTCTGAATAACTGATGCATGTACTCCATAGTTTCCCCTCTTAATTTAAAGTTTGCAAATTACAGAAGTTTTTTTCTCTTGGCCTGTGTGGCCTTGACAGGGTTTAGCTTAGCTCAGCTCAAAGATGTTTTTGAGAGTAAATTTATTTGGGAGTGAGAGAAGTAATACATCTATCTACCAGACTTTCTGCTGTCTGCCTGTCTGATTTGGGCTCTGTACGTAATACAGTGGCAGTCTCTGTGATTTTTTTTCTTTTTTTTCTTTAACAGCACTGGAGGATGGCATGCTACTGCCTGGTTTTACTCAGTATCGCAGCATTTAAATTGCTTGCGTTGGGTTGTTGCTTGCTCTGAGGGTATTTAAATGCACGTTGCTGACCACTCTGAAGAATAGCTTGAAGCTGTGCAGAAAATTTGCTTCCCTGTTCGCTTTATCCTATATTGAGCGCACAAATACAAGGGCGGCTCCAGCCCAGAGCCTGGGGATGCTAACCATGAGCAGGGATGGCTGGAACTGCTTTTCAATGGCTTTTAGGTTGCTGCTTGACCTGATGAGCGTTGGCTGCTTTGGTGGTACAGCTTTGTAATGGTGCGAGGTGCCCCTCCTGAAACAGCCGATAGCCCAGTGGTGCGGCTTCCCTCTGGAGGATGCTGGAGATGGTGTGAGTCCTTTGGGGTATACTTCGAACTTGTCTCCCATCTCTTGAGAGCTGTTGTGGAGGGCAGCTCAAGATCCATCCCGTTAGCATATTTCAAAAGGAGAGCAATCCACACAGGTACCTGCAGCAGTGTATCTTCTAAGGGATGTTTTCAGACTGGAGTTCAGAGGGAAGGGAGGTGCCTCTGCAATTCTAGTTTAAGTTGCCTGAGTCCCAAGAAGAGGTGGGATTTAAAACACTCTTACCAGTGCCCTGTTAGGCAGCTTGGATGTCTTTTTGCTAGTGGGTCTCTTTTTTTCCTCTCTTTCTCCAGAGTGCCTGACTTCCCCTGGTCACTTCACAGGGGCTTGGCATAGGGTGCTGAGTTACCATCTGCACAGTGGGTGTCATGAGGCTCAGAGTTGCACTGTGTATCTCGCCTTTTAGATCTAGTCCCGAGACACTCTTGCAATGCTCTCCTCTTCAGTGGTGAGTGGGATTTCTAGAGTAACTGCCGATGGGGGGTTTACACGCGTTGAATAGCAGCAAATGGCAGAAGGGATAGTGGCATTGTAGATGATTCTCCTGGTGTGCTCATTCAGTCCAGAGTGCTATAAACAAGAGACAAAAGAGACTTAAAATATTGAGGTTTCAGACTTGCCAGTTGTTCCTGTGCCCAGTATGACACTTGTGCACAAGCCTAGTGCTCAGAAAGTTGGCAAAACTCTCCTGGCAAGAAGGTGCTCTGGTCTGCAAGAGCTTTCCAGGACTTTTCCTGGCAGGGGAGTATGCTGGAGAGGAAACTGTCCAGTGAGCAGGCCTGGCAAAGCAGGGATCTTGCAAAACAGAAGCAAAAATCTTACAGAATGGTAGTGTGCTTTGTGGGTTATCTAGTGGGGATGATCGGGAGGGTGGCATGTTGTCTGAAAAATTAGAAACCACTGTGGTGACTAGAAAGTAGACATGCTGGACTGTTGCAGTAGCACAAGGTGGCTGCTTCATGGTGCTGAAAATTTGATCAGTTTTACACCAAAAATAACCAAGCTGCCACTTCTACTGTCTGTCTGTCACACAGCTGTCATCCAGACCTGCTCACATTAGCCGGCACAAGCTAGCAAAAGTCAGGTACAGTTTGCATAAATTATTTGTGCGAACATTAGGTCAGACAGAGCCATGGGTAGATGCTGAACTTGGGTTTGCCTGTCCCTCGCCCATGCCATGCCCTGGCGCACTGCACCCCAAGGAAGCATCTCAAACCACCTCTGCTTGCACCCACTATGCAAAAGCAGCAGCAACCTCCTGTGGTGGAGTAAACATTAGGTTTCTGGCTGGTGTTAGCATATACCCTGTATGTTTTTCAAGGAGCTCTGTGACCACATTGCTGACACCAGCCTCAAATTGACCCAAAGACTAGCTGCATGCTTAGTTTTTCCCCAGAAGTGCTGTTGTCCACTGTGTTCAGTTTGCCCTCCCAGTGCTTTCTTGCACATTTGGTTCCTGGCTCACACATTCATCTTGACAGTTAAAAGTACTTTTTCATTATCAGCAGGTAGAAATTCACATAAGAACAGTGGTGTTCAATGGGATGGCTAGAAAACAACAAGGCAGGTTGACCAATTCAGTTTGATATTTATTTCTGGTGAGTTCAGCTGAGCCCTTCCAGAAAAGGGAGAACATGGTTCTTCACCACAACTCTGCTGCTCTGGAGCTGCACTTACCTTTCCCTGCGTGATGGGAATTGGTGAGGCTTTTGCAGTGCCTCTCATGAAACCCTTTTCCCTCAGCAAATGTACATCTTCAACACGTGCAGTCAGAGGTGAACTGAAGACATTGGATTGCTGGTGGCGATCTTAATTTTATGTCCTGATAGGTCCAGAGTAAAATTCAGGAAGGTACACTACCAGTTTCTGTATTTGAACAGAAGTAAGGATTTAGAAGAGTAGAGTTCATGTGCTAAAGGGACAGTAATTAACAACATAAAAATGAGCTATTGTTTTTGATTCATATAGCTTCATCAAGGTGGAAAATAAAAGAACAGATAACAAAGATGAAGAAAATTAAGGAATCATGGGATAAATGGAAGAAATCAAGTACACCATCTAAATATAACTCTACTGGGATTTTTCTCAGTGGTCACTTTTCTTCTGGGTGTAACTGACCTTTCCTTGTAACCAGCCTTTTCTGGCAGTTGTCTGGTTTTCACCACTGTTAATTGCATCCTGTAGTATGGTCCTGCTCTTCCCATGCTGCCCTGAGAGTTCCTTTCCCTCCATCTTCCTGCATCATTAAGTATTTTTCAGAGAATATCCTCGTTAGCTCCAGGTGGCACAAGTGGAGGTTCCTTAATACTTGTTCACATCATGAACTAGCTATGTGACTGACTTCTTGTCCAGCCTAAGTGCCCGTCAGCTCTTCTTCAGTGAAAATAAAATTAAATTGCAGGGACCAGGAAGGCAAATGCTCTGAGTATTGATGTTAGTTAATTGAAATGTATAACTCAGTGTCTGGTTTCATGGGTGAAACTTGACTTCTGCCAGCTATGTTACCACCTGCAAAATGTCAAGAAGCTGAGTGTAAATCATTTTATGATCTGTGATTGAAAGGATCTAGATTGATTTAAAAGATTTTGGGGGGGGGGGGGGAGTTCTAATAGTTCACAGGGCAGCTTTTAATCAGATTGAGCTCTATTACTTTTAGACCACTGGTTTATTAGCCTTTGGCATCGTAATGCAACTGGCACAACTCAAGGTTTTCATGCAGTTCCTTTGCTAAGGGTTACCACCCATAACAGAGCAGGTGGAATAGAGCATGTACCTGCATTCAGCTGCTCTAGTTCATTTTGACATATTAGCTGAAACCTGTCTCCACTGATGGTTTTGTAAGCTAATACACTGGACTCCCTCCCTGCTGACTGTTGCAGAAGAGGTGTGATGCAATGGGGATAATCTGCAAAACCTTCACAGCAGGGTTCACTAGAGTTTATCTGTCACACTGCAGTGAGGTGAACTGCATCAGCTGAAGTCTAGTGCCTTGGAATAACAAGTAAAATGTCCAAATGTCCTCTTTTCCCAAGACAAATCTAGGCATGAAAACGAAGAGTTTGTAATTTAACTAGTCAGGCAAATGATGTCTGTGTCCCAGATGCCAAAGATGCCTGATAACCCTGCAAGGTTACTATGCCGACCGTTGCTTTTTGGTGGTTGTTTGGTTTGATTGACCCATTAGTGAGACTTTAAACCTCTTGCCCTCCAAGGAGGGAAGCTTTTTTTTCTTTCGAGGAAGTTCTACCCTGTGGAGTTCTCTCTGCAGGTCATGAGGAATTAAAAGGAAAAACCTCTTAAGTTCTTTGTGTAACTACTTCTGCAGTAACGATGCTACAAATGACTTACGTTTGTACTCTACCAGCATATTACTACATAATTGAAAACTCATTCTCAGAGATGTTCTCTTCTTGACCCTAAAACCTACTTAAATATATTTTGGTTTGGTTTGGTTTTTTTCCCCTTGGGTTTTGGGGATGTCAGTGTTTGAGAGGTATCATGGTTTTCTTTCCACACACCATAGTCTCTTTGATCCTGAATTTACCCCATCTTTTGCTAACTTGTTTCCAAAGCAGCCATTGCTTTTGAATTTCAGGAACATCATCCTGAAAAGATGAGCTCTAATTGGGTTCAGTGCAGGCTCATGCTTTGTGTAAAATTTGCTTTTAAGGTGAGCAGCAAGAGTCTTAAATGACCTTTTAAATCTTATTTTGATTTTATTCAGGTATAGTAGTGTGCTCTTTAATAATGATCCAGCAATAGGTCTCCCATTACAGCTTTTTTGTTAATTAAATAGGATGTAAGATGTATTGGATGTTTTCAAAATGAAACTACGAGTTTTTAATAGATTCCCTGATTAAGAATACTGGTCTGCATACATGATGGTGCCCTGAAAAAAAAAAAATCACTTAACAGCTATAGATAAAGTACTGTTCTGAGGCAAGCAAAACTTGCTTCCTCCCTCAACCATTTCAGGTAAAAACTACTTGCTTGTGATGGTCTTACCTTAAGGAAGATGTTTAATCTCCTCTTACAGGAATGGGAGGATGTTAAGGAAAGGTTTCACATGTTGTGTATTTGATATATCCAATCTTTTGTTTAAAAGGCATCATATGTGAGGCAAAAGAAAGACCCTTACTTTGGTGTCGGACAAAGGAAAAAGGACTGGCATAACAAAGAAGCTATAAGGAGAGACTCTGAGCGTGTAGGTATGTAAGATTACTATTAAAATGTTTTAATGAAGATTGTAAATTAGTTTGATATTATTTCATAGGCTGAGTGCAGAACAGCATGTTCAACTTCAGGGTCAAGATGATGTTCTTGATGTGAGGCAGCAGTTACTGTGTGTTAATCCCAGTTAAAGCCTTTCTTCCCAACTCTGTAATAACTGTTTTGAGGTGAAAATCTATTGGTAACATCTTGATATTTTTAGGATAGGTACAGTATTGATTTTTAAAAAACTTACCAAAAATGTGTGCCTGTACCTCTCCCAAAAATGAGAAACCCGGAAAGGAAGAAGAGGGATAAGAAAAATGTTCTAGATTGTAACATTCATGCAAGTTTTATTCCATGGTTCAGGGTTTTGTCTTGCATTGCATAAAAGGGCCCATTTTTAACATCACAGCTTTACACTGGTGTGTCTGCAAGGGCTCTGCCTCCTCTGTGCAAGAGCTCAGGTTGTTAAATATACATATCCATCTGTGCTGGAAAAAGCAACAGTGATGAGGTATTCAAACCATATGTATTCTTCCTGCAGTGAAAAAAAACCCAACAACCACACTCTATAGATCCTCCATGGTGTTGCCATAGCCCCTTCATCTGACGTTAGAAGGAAGGCTTCTAACTTCTACAATTTGCACAGCTAAGTGGTTTGGAGCAAAACTGCTTATCAAATAAAATAGTTAGGTTGACATGGTTGACCCAGTGCTAAATGTGACATAGAGCACAATACTAATGAAGGAATTTTCAAAGGACTATAAGGTGACTGCTGCTTTTTTGATATATGGATTACGTTCTGGCCAGTTAAGCACCAATTAGTAGTAATGATGCATGTTTACTTTCTGTCTATCTATAGGAAATGGAGAACAGGGAAAACCTTACCCAATGACTGATGCAGAGCGAGTGGACCAGGCATACAGAGAAAATGGCTTTAATATCTTTGTGAGTGATAAAATTTCTCTGAATCGTTCCCTTCCAGACATCAGACATCCAAAGTGAGTATATAGTTTGCATTTCTACGAGTGAAGGTTTACAAGCCCTATAAATTACCACGTCAGCAGGAGCATGCTCTTTTTTTATTATGGACTCTTGTACCTTTGTTCACCACACACAGTCCTTTCACAGCTGGGTCCTGTCTTTATTAATAAAGGACAGTGTATAGTAATTGCAGTGGTAAATAGGAGACCAAATCTGGGGGAAAAAAATCCGCTTTTGATTCTAAAAGACTTAAAATTACCAAAAACTTGCAGCCCTGCACAGAAGAGATCTTGAACTTAACCCAGAGGTGGCTACTTCCTTCACCTCTTGCAATGTGACAGTTCAGTTCCTGAGCCCACTGACATAGCCAACAGCTTTTAGCAACTAATAAGGTGGAGCTATTTCTTTCTGTAGTGGAAACTGATGTGAATGTTTGACTCAGTTGTCAAGAGTCCTAAGTGTACCCAGGTGATGACTTTATCGCTAAACACCTGTCCAGTTCTTATGTTGGCCACTAGCTGGAAATGACCATGAAATGCTCAGGAGGTGAACAAGCTTTGAGTAGCTCCACTCAACTACATATGAAGAGTTTTACCAGAAATCCTTCCAATTTATGGATTAGTTTCTTAGACATCTTCCTAGTAAAAAACCTCCTCAGGGTTTACAAGTAGAAACTAGTTCCAATTGAATGCTGGCTTTTGAGTTCATCTATTTTTGGACATTATCCCTTAGGATGGTGTCAAACTGGATTTCGTGCAAGCCAGAAGGAGTTTTTCTTTAGCAAAAGTGCTTCAGTTAGGACTTAACCCTTGTTTATACAAAGCTGAGAGGTTTTTAAATACTGTTTGTGTGGTTCTAATCTGAAAGCATTGTTAGACATTTGAGTGGAAGCTTGTGTGAGGCCGTTTTTATCACAATTTAGTGAATCTGAATTCAACATCTACTTTATTCATGAGATATAATTTCCAGAAGTCAGGTTTTGTAATTTGTTAGCTGCACATTTGAGAGATTACCTCTTCAGCTGTCACAGCAAACTAATCAAATATACTGGCTTGACACCCTTTCTCAATATATACTCATAAACCAGAGTAGTGAGTATAGCTCCATAAATATTTTAGGCATGCAGCTGAAATGTTCAAACATAGAGATAAATCAGGTAACTGAAGATGCTTGTTGATCAGCCCATACTCAAGTTCTAGGAAATACAGTTTGAGTTTGCTAACCTAAATTATACCTGGCCTCCATTTATAGGGGCTGCCATGGGCTCTGAGAATTTAAACATCAGACAATGCCAGTATTTCCTCAGCTAAGGATTCAATATATTAACTCACATTCCCCATTGTTTCCCAGAGTTGCTGACTATTCATTGCTAATTCTACTACTTAAACTTTTTTAAAATATGAAATTTCTAACTCCAGTCCCCAGTTACCCCAGTCACCAACAACTTAAGCTGTGATTAATGATGCTGCTGCAGCTGGTTTGCTTGTTGCTTGACACATCCTTTCTCCCACCGTAGTGAGTTATAATTGTGGAGGTCTCAAGGAGAGGATAAACAGTGTGTGTGTAATGGATGCTAGGATTAGCTGGGCAGGGAGTGGGATTACATATAATGGAGATGTGCAGTAAAGGCATTCACAACTGAAAAGGTCTGTTGTGCATTCCCTGTGCCCATTAAAAAAAGATATACTTGAAATGGTATGGTTTGTGTTATTTGGGAGGTTGATGAGGGCAATTTATAAAAAAGGCTGAGGTGGAGTCCATAAAGAGCATTCTAGAAAGAAGGGAGCTGTGTTTTAGAGCACTTACTTTACCTGGTCTTTTACACGTGGTAAGAGATAATAGAGGCTTTGTCGTTTGGAGATGTGCCCACAGACAGAGGGGAGTGTAAGGAGAAGGTGAACTGGGCAAAGATGTGGCAACTATCCTGTCCTAAGCTTTGGGGCCCCAGCTAGGATTCTTCCCAACAGCTGGCCTGGGTGGGGAAGGACAAAGAAGCAGCCAATGTGTTTGCTGCCTTCTGAGATGGTTTGTGTGGACCTCTATATACCAAATAGCATGTCACCTCTGCTTTTTGTTAATCGTGGGAGTTGAGGGGCTGGGGGAGGGCACGTACTGGATCTGCCTGGTACACACATACGATTGTTTCAACAGTCATGTCTTCCCCTGCTAACATTTCCTTTAAGTGCTTCTGGGTTTTTTAATATTAAATACTAATTTTGCAGGTCTTGTAAAGCAATTGTAGATGTGGTAGCTGGAGGGAAACAATTTTTCTCCATGCTTAATGGTTAAACTTAATAGCTAAAGTTTCCCACTTGTTAAAGTTAGAAAATGAGAATTCCAGTTTAAGAAGAGTTAGAAGAGACTTGGGCGCTCTTGTTTCATATTGGAACAGAATTATAGCTAGTAGCTATCTCAGAAGAAGGTTAAGATTGCAATGCCAAGGGCTGGATGAAAGCAGTCCATGCAGCTTTATCTTGCATCTTGCATCTGTGCATTGCAGCCATAGCCTGCAAGCTCTTGGCAGCATCCCCAGACAATTCATTAGACCCAGAATAAGCTACTGTCCTTTCGTGCAGGCACCAGAGTAACTTCCTGTAACCGCAGATTTATTGAGTTTGTGTAGCATAGGTGCATCCTTCTCCATGCCCTGGGAAAGGTACCAGGAAAAAGCTGCCACTGCCAGAGCAGCTTTCCTTCCCATCTGTCCTTCCGGGGAACAGCGAGGGAATTGCTGTGTGCGTGCACGCACTGCATTGTGCAGGTAGTGAAAGCCTCGCTGAGTGCCTGACGGGAGAGAGTCTGCAAATCAGCTCTGGTGCAGGCTGTGCAAGAGGTCTGGCAAGGCAGGGAGCAGAGTATGACCTCCCTCCCCTGCTAGTGGAAAGAGGGCAGCCTACCCTGCTAGCAATGTCATTAATATATTCTAAAAATCTCTATTCACGTAGCCACTTCTGTTTTGCACTGGACATGTGAGGTTCTAGGAATGTAATAGATTTCTGTCCCCTAGTGAACAGCTACTGGGTGTTTTTTAACTACAATTGTTAGCTGTGTGACCTTAGGTGTTACCTGTTTAACAAGGTTCAAACTCCACTTAGGGCCACACCTGCAGGAAAATAAACACTGCACTTATTGCTGCAGTTTGAATTTTCTTCATTAAGCTACCTTGTAAACACCTGCACAAGGCAAGAAAGCGTTACCCCTATCTTAAAATTAAGAAGATTAATGCTGTGGGGAAATACCCGCAAATTCAAGGGGTCCATATGGGGTCTCTGCAGACCTAACTCTCCAGCTTTATCCAAGTTCTGCAGTCCTTATGTTCAAAGCCCAGCCTTCTTCATTTCTGTCTGTAGAACTGATCCCAGGTGTCAAACTAGACTTGCTGAAAAATGGGGAAGACAAGATTGATTATTTAGGAAAAGTATGATTTGAATAATTGTCCAGCATGACAAAGGAAGCCTTTGGTAGAGGTTGGAGGTTGATCTATTACTGAGAGAGGTGGGTTTCTTTATTGAGCAGTTCTTACCGTGCAATTATGCTGTCTCTTCTGTGTACTGTTCACAACGTCTTGAACTTCTGGGACTGTTTAGGGAAGGTGCTGTCACACAAAATCCTTACTTCCTGCACATTTTGTTTAAAAAATTTGGATGACAGTTATACAGGTGATTAGAGTGATTTGCTTCTTTGAAAACTGGGAATAAGTGAGCTAAACCAATGTACTGATAATGCCTAGAAGAGATACATTCAACTTCTTGAAACAACTTTGTAGAAATTCCTCTTCCTTGTGATCTTTGAGGTATAAGGACAGGGAAAACAAGTATTTTAGAGACTTTTGTATCTTAAGCTATAACTAAGTTACCTTTAAAAGCAGCTTCAGCACCTAATAGATCCCTCTGACTTTCTGTGTTGCTAAGTGTCACTGGTCATTAGCAGTCCTCACTTCATACGGAATTTTTTTTTTTTTTTTTTTTTTCCAGGTAAACTAGATCAGGTCAACACTGGCTTGATAACGCCTGAAAGTTGGTGGGTCTTTTCAGGCACTTTGCATCAATTTGAGGAGCAAAGAATGAAATAAGTTACTTGATGGTAATTAATATGGAAGTGCTGGAGGGTTTTGGCACCGCCTTTTGACTTGCTCTATCTATGTCCAGCTGCAAGAATAAGCTGTACCTGGAGAAGCTTCCGAACACTAGTGTGATAATACCGTTCCACAACGAAGGATGGTCCTCTCTCCTCCGGACAGTGCACAGTGTCTTAAACCGCTCCCCTCCTGAGCTGATAGCAGAGATAGTGCTGGTGGATGACTTCAGTGACAGAGGTATGATAATTTGTACATAACATCTCCACCATGTTTACCTACCTATGCTTACCTACTTAAGGGATCAATGAACTTGTAGATACATGTCTGATGACTTGAGGTTTTTTACTTGCCAACAGCAGAGCTCAGGTAAACCTTGCTCCCGTACGTTTGAAAGGCCAAAGGTCTAGCAAAAAAAGTCATGTTCTATATTCAGTTTGTGCTGGTTTAGCTGCTGATGGCATGCGCTGTCCTGTGTTTTGGACAATGTGAATAAACAGGGAAGCTGGCTTTAATGTTCTGCTAAGGGCCTGTGTAGCCCTTAACATTAAACCCAGGGTTAAATGTTTGATGCTTGGAATAAAAATTTAAAAAAAAAAAAAAAATAGGGGGGAAAAAGTCCACTCCTCACATTCTGCATTTTTTTTCTAGACACAAAAAATGGTAAAAGAAGCCTTGATAAAAGGTTTCCACCCTGCACTGCCTATGATTTGGCTTACTTTTCTCCTGAATTTTGTGCTCCTGAAAAGTAAATCTGCAACATCCAAAACTTTGACTGCTCTTGCTTGCTGACTTGCTTGCAACTACACTCCTTATTTTGTACTGCACTGCCAGTAGTCGTCGTTTTGGATTGGGTTTAAGTGCTACATGCAAAGTAGTCTAGTTGCTGGCGTAACACATCACCACAAATGAAACAACCACTTGTAATTGCAGCAGCAATATCTAGATGTAGTTGCCAAATTTACTTGTTCTGTAGCAGAAAGGAAAGACGTCTTTTTCTCTGAACCATTTAAGTGCTATATGATATAAATTAAGCTAGACTTTGTCTTGTAGTTTGCACCCTTGCTATGGTAGAAAAGGCAATCCAGTGAAGGAGGAATGAATGCCTCTATCATGTAGACATTGCATAGCTAGAAAGATCACATGGGAAGTCCTCTGAAGTAGCTGGAATTCTCCTGTCTTGAAGAGGGTACAGTGACTTTAAGGGGTTATGATCAGATCTAGCAACTGTATTTTCTCCTTGAAAATTACAAAGACTATTTAGCTTTGAGCTGCAGAGTTCAAGAGTCCTGCCACTGAAATTACTCAGCTAGGGGAAAAGAGCTCTCTACATGGATACTAAAGGATACACCTCCAAAAATCTGACACGTAGGAAGCTCCTAAGATGAGCTGGGAAACAAGCTTGTGAGTATTTCGTGTTCTAACCTATACTGACTTTCAAATAAGCACTACCCAACAGCTATTGTATTTGTTCTAAAGTACATCTCTAATTAGTCTGCAAGGCATGCTGGTTTGAACAAATCAATGTTATATGAAATAAGTATTTCTTTAGAGGATTTTCAGACTAAGCTGGGGAGAAAAAAAAACACACCCTCTTAACAAGGTCTCTTTATTGCTACTCAGTCTAGAAGCAAATTAGACAAGCTCATGCTGTAACCACAGCTGAATTGTACAAACAAGTGTCGTTTGAGAAAAGTGGAAGTAATGAAATCTGGTTTCCTGTGGATCTATTTTCCCTGTTCACTAGATGTGCCCTTCTGACCAGGCAAAAGAGAGCACTCCTGGCTCTGCCACCCCTGCTCCTCATCTGACTGTACACATGCTGTTTGTCCAGCTCACTTTTGCTCTGTTCTACCTGTCTCTGATAAGATGCAAGCCCTTCTCCGTCAGTCATCCATCTTTCATACAAAGGTTGCAAAAGTAGCTGAGATTTAACTTGTGTGCAGCATCTATTTATAGATGAATATAAGAGACTACTGGTGTTGGACAGTGAGCTAAATTGTCAAGGGAAGAGAACGACACACAGGCAAAGGGAGTGCTAATCTTTTTTTTTTTTTTAAATTAAAAACAGTGGTTTCCTCTAGCTCAGTTGATCTATGCATGGTGGAACAATTACTGGTTAGGATGAAACATTTTTCCTTCACTGCTGTCCATTTTGTATCCACACTGTAGTGTTTCCTGCTGCCTGCTGCTCCTTTTTCAGCAGTCAGCATTCTTCCTTAACCACACTGGTGTTGACTTCCACATCCTTCCCTAGGTTTAAATAGATCCTTAGTCTTCAGGAGACTGTTAAGTCCTAAACATGTGACCTTGACTTGAAAAGGCTGCTGGTTACTAATTTCTGGTTTTAATTTATCCATTGTATGTATTTAAAAAAAACACAAACACTTCAACCCAATACCTGAGAATTGATAATTTAACGCATCAAACTGAACTGCATGAAGGAGCAGAGGCTCCAGGAAAACTTTTACTTTGTGTGTTTTATGTTTGAAAAGGGCACATTCTGGGATTTGGAACTGTTAGGCCACTGTTCTGGTTATCTGTTTCTTATGATTAAATTGGGCAGGTGATAAAAACCCTGTGTCCAAGCCGATGATCATCACCACTACTGTGAACAGTAAAAGGAATGAGGAGAGATTTCTTGATTTTTCTTTGAAAATCATCAATTATTAGTCCTCTGCATGGTCTGCAAGGCAGAATGCTGTGCTTCTGTTTCAAATGCTAGTCCCACAAATTTGTAACAGCATCTTTCTTTTAAAATTGTAGAATCACTGTTGGACGTAGTGATAGTAGAAGCCACATTTGAGATCAGAGAGGCATAGTAAGAACAGTAAATGTCAGCTTCTTCCCCAAAGAGATCAGTAAATAGTCATCATAAACTCCAGTGAAAAGCAAAAGATGAAAAGGATAATTGCTCAATAAAAATCTATTATTAATTTTTTTATCGAGAGGTTACCCTGGCAAGATAAAATATCAGACATACTCTGCTGTACCTCATGATGGCCTTTCACTTGAGGGTTGTCTAAACAGACCTCTAGCACTTTAATAACTCTTTAAAAAGGCTAACCTTCAAGAACTTGGCTTTCCCTAGCAAGGAGACTATATCCCTCTTGCTAGCGTTTCTTGTGTACTGACCTGTGTTGGGGTTAAACGTACTGGCCTTTGCCGATCTGCCTTTGAGGTTCTGTTAGCGTTGCTTTCTTGTTTTGCCATTGCACTGGTTTCTGTAGGTGGTGATGTTAGTGCCAATCCGTCAGCCTCTTTCATCCGTGTATCTCACACATGGAGAATCTTTGCTTCACATGAAGTAAAGAGGACTTTGCTAATAATAGAAATAGTAAGTATGGAAACCTGGCTACTGCACACATCAGTGTTTTTTCTGACAGATGTTACTTTCCTATGTTTTTCATCTGTTTTTAAGCTTGAGAGTAAGGAATTTTTGGTGCAACTACGAAGAGGGTTGAGAAGTTGGCTAACAAAGTGATAGGAGAGTGAAGACAGATTTCTGGGTTGGTTGGTGGCTGTTGTGGTCTGCAGCATACCTGAGAGGCAGCTGTGTTGCTTTGCATTATTGGAGCTCTTGGACAGATGAATCATCATCTGGAAGTGTCAACAGCCATTTATTTCTTAATTTGTTTGAGAGACACAATTCTGTGACCTTTAGCAATAAACATTTTTCAACCAAAAAAGGCTGTCGTGATGACAGCAAATCATAATAGCGAGCAGCAAAAGCTTTACAAGTCATGTTTTTGAAATGTTTCCTTTGCTTTGTATTTTAAAAATCAAAATGTGCTGGAACAACTTGGTGTCTGGAATGGTTTTTTTTTTTGCATGCCTGTATTATAATGCAAATGATCAAAATCTAGCCTTACTTCAAACAAATTTAGTGCTGGATTCCACATCTGCCATAGTGCTCTAGGGAAGGCTACCTGTCGGTGGGATCAGTCTAATGCAGTACAGTGGTAGCATCCAGTTTGCCTTGAGCTGTGGACCGTATTGTCACCTCCAGCAGCTGTCTTTGACACTTGAATCTTTCTTTGTGGGGATTCCCTTGTTAGGTTAAGTTAGCTTAAAAGAAGCTGCTTTCCAGCACGTGCCATTGGTCACAACAGTGTCAATATTGTGGGGCTATTTTCTACTTTTTCGGATAGTCTCTAGTATCAACGTAGCATTCCCAGCAAGACTATGATAGCATATGCTTTTTTCCTCACAGACTCAGTTGGGATGTCTGTGATAGAAGGGCTTTCTTCTCCTGGCTGTAAGCATTTCAAAATAATTGTAGGGATTTAATGTGCAGAAGAATATAGCTTATATTGAAGAGGGAGGCACCCATTCAGCAGACTTGGAGAATAAGAATTAACCTGCCCAGTGTTGTGTGCCTCTTCCTGCATGCTACCAAGAACTGCTGAAGACCCACAGACTGACCTCCTCAGACTAACCTCAGCTATTTCAGGGTGGTCCAAAATAACGCCTACCCTCCTGGATAAGCAGAAATCAGAATACAATGCATGTGAATTACGACTTTAGAATTCGTGATCATAAAAACACCTAGCTGTGGCAGTGCTGTGTGGATTTGGGGCTTCACTTTTAATTTCTATAGCTATTCTTTAGTTCTGTTCTCAGTTAAATTAAGCCTTTTCATATGCTGGCTTGCAGGGTGCTAATTATATCCCTCTGAGCTTGTTGTTACCAGAATGGCCCTAAGTAAACTAAAATGCTTTTTTCATGTATATCAGTTTTCTCCTGGGGACTGTCAGATATGAAATTTGTTTGCTTTTTGATTATTTAATTACAATGCTGCTGAGTGGTAAGTGGGTTGCATTATACCATAGAAATGGGAAGAGGGGAAGAGAAGTTGAAATGCAGGTCAGTTTGTAACACTGCTGGTTTTTGTATTGGCTCTGATGGCATTTTACTATTGATAGCAGGCAACGAATGACAGGCAGTTCATGATTCTTCAGGGTCTGCCTCAGTCCCTAGACCTACAATCTGAATCTGGCAGTGGTTGTGAGAAATCGAGCAGTTCATCTCTTGTGTCTGCCTTGTACAAAAGCGATTGTTGGTCTCCCTCTAATTCTTGTACCTTGTGGACACCTCTGCTGTATAAGCTATCTCTAAGTTTACATGAACAAAGGTAAAGCTGTCCTCTGTCTCTCACTAGATAAATGAACAGCCTTAAGCTGAAGGAAGAGAGGGCAGAGTATAGTACGCTTTCTCTTTGCAGGATGCTTGTCTAGATG